CCCCAAAACCCCAAAACCCCAAAACCCCAAACTCCCCTCTGATACAATATTGAGGGAAATAAAATTTGATTAAAATAACCTATGTCACAATAATTTAATAAAACCTCCTTCAAAGGCGATATTATGAAACATTTCATCATCCTTACTTTCTTTCTTTTTGTGCTTTGATGTTGTGGGATTTCCGTTTGCATTAGCAGCAACATTATTTATTCCGGCTGCTTAATTCATCATTTCCAGTTTATTTGCATCAGCTCCCTTCTTGCCACCGAAGATATTCCTACTATTTGCCCTTTTTCTTTAGGTGCCATCTGTAGACTAATTATTCATTGTGTCACTGCTGTTTAAAATGACGCTGTTGTCTTTGGACTCCTCCTCATATGGGTTTTGTATCTTTCTAGCTTTATTAATTTTGCCTATGTTGAACTCTCCATCGAATATAGTGGTTTAGCCAGAGTTAACTGTATTTTTATTATTGTTGTTAATGATATTAACATTTTGAGAGGAATTTGAGAAAATGTTGGCTTTACCCTTGTTCTAGCTAAAAATATTGTTGATCTGCTTAGAAGAGATATTGTTGTTTTACAAAATTTAAGCCTTTTTATCAAGATCTCCTGGCTGATTAGCAGTTGGGCCTGAGTCTTAATTGTAATTGACTAGTTTCTTTGCTTTTTTGTAGATCTAAAATCCATCATTTGTTTACTAAACAACTGCTTCTTTGATCCCAGTAGACATTCCAAAATTTAATAAGTCCTTAGCGATCTTCTCCTCCTCTTCTTTTAGATTTATTTTTTTAGCTTTTGGTTCTTTTAAGTTATTTAGTACTGGCACCTTCTAGCCTAGTCTTGGAGTTTCTAGTTCTCCTATGCTATCCCTACTGCCGTGATTTCTAATATCCTCTAATGTCACTTCTATAGTTTTGGTTGGAGTGGCATTCAATAGCTTTTTAGATGGAGGCAGTTTATTAGGTATTACATTTCTGGCTGATTTTAAGAGTTACTGACTCTGTCCTAAGTTAGGCTAGCTGTCACTTTTATGAAGAGTTGGTGGCTTCAATATAGGGGGCTTTTCGAATAAGTTCTTTTTCCCTTCAATAGGAACTAGCTTCTTATCGAGGCCAAGTTTAAGGTTTTCAGTTGAACCGTCTCTAGACATTGGGAATCTAATACCACCACCGTCTGTGCTTTGACCATCAATGCTATTATCTCTAGACATTGGGAATAAAGTATTGGACTTTTTAAGAGCTAGCATTGATGAACTGTTTCTTGCACTGAGAGGCATTTTAACTTGACTTCCAAAGCGTCTATGTTGAGAGCCACCTCCTTTTTCAGCACTTTGCAGTTGCATTAGCTTCTTCGCCTCTTATTCTTGCTTCACCTTCTCACTGAGAAGCACATTTTTGTAGCAATTGCAGAAGTCTCTGGCGAAGTTGAAAAATAGAGCAAAGAACTCAGTTGACTTAGTTGACTCATCCTCTCCAAACAGAACTATCATCTCTGCTATGTCTTTCTAGATCTACTTGACTCTAGTATCACTTTCCATAAACTTAACTTCAGCTTCCTTTAAGAACTCAGTGAATATCCTATAAAACTTCTCATACTCTAATATCTTCTTGTTAAGGGCATCTCTTTCAGTCAACTTATCCTCACTTAAAGGCGTTTCCATAGTATCAAAGACTTTTTGATCATCTCTGAACTGATTCAGCTAGTCTTCCGTCTTTTAAATCTCTTTCTTGATTTTTTCAATGCCTCTTTCAAAATCCATTACCTTATTACTCAGAATACTTAGTTCTATCTTTGAGGCAATCTCACAAGTTACCAGCTCATTAGTAAAAGTTAATAGATTCGGATCGCTCTTTCTAATTGAATGTATTAAATACTCTAGAAGAGACATCTTAGTCTTTCCAATACTCTTGATGTTACTCAACTGGGATAGCAATTCCATTTAAAAGCCTAAAGCTCTGCCCGTTTTAGTTCCATAATTCAGATAATTACCAGTCTTGAGTATAAGTGCGAAGATTTCTTTCAATTTTTCATTATCTCTAATACCTTTCATTGCTGAGTTAAGAGTAGACAAGTTTTTATTGTTTTCGTTGAAGTCGAAGTCGAATTTGTTCTTAAAAAGCATACACTCTAGTCTTTCATTAAGAGACGGCACTTAGAGTAACTATATCAAGAATTGCTCAATGTTTGATAGTTCTGATAATCCACCCTTATACTGTAGCAACTTTTCAGCCTCTTCATTATTCGGTGATATTCTCTGCAACTTTTAAATCTTATCAGCATCAAGTATCTAATCATCAAGTGAAAGCAATGCACTCACAGTCTCTTTAATACTCATTGGATAGCTGCTTAACTGAATTCCGATATCAGACACTCTCTTTTGATCAAGCACATACAAAACTTTACTGGTCTTATTTTATAGCTTCTTTTTGTCCTCTTCTTCTTACTTGATATCCTCTTCTCTTTTACAGAATGCATCTTTTAGGAGTTCATAGTCAATATCAGTCTTGTATTTTAATGGATTGAACGTCTTTGCAAAGAAAGTCTTATTCATTCTTACTTTTGGCATAAGCCTCCAATGTAACCTTTTAGGGACATAGCCTGAAGGTGGTGGCTTGATTGTAACTTCATTAGTTTATTATGCTTATGGATTTGGGCCAGGTGGTCTCATTCCTGGTCCGGGTGGTAATCCACCAAAGCCTGGTGGAGGAGGCATTCCTCCTGGAGGAGGAGGCATACCGCCTGGAGGAGGAGGCATACCACCGGGTGGTGGTGGCATTCCGCCTGGTGGAGGTGGTCTAAACATTCCAGGAGGAGGAGGCATTCCACCTGGAGGAGGTGGAGGAAAACCACCTGGTGGAGGAGGCATGCCTCCTGGTGGCGGAGGCATTCCTCCTGGTGGTGGTGGCATACCTCCTGGAGGTGGTGGCATACTTCCTGGTGGGGGAGGAGGTCTGAAACTCCCTGGAGGTGGAGGTAGTCCTCCAGGTGGTGGTATATTCATGCCATTTGGTGGTGGAGGAGGACCTCCAGGAGGTGGTAACTGATTCATTCCTGGAGGAGGAGGCATTCCATTCATCATTGGAGGTGGTCTTATCTAAGCTTGCATATTGCTTTGTCCTGGAGGTGGAGGTACATTTTATCCAGACGGCGGAGGCTGCCTAATGTTTATTTGATTTATTGGATTGTTTAATTAATTACCCCCTGGTGGAGGTGGCATTCCCTGATTTAATCCAGGTGGAGGGGGCGGAGGTCTGAAACTGTTTTACTAAGTATTAGGTGGTGGGGGTACTTGATTCTATTAAGCATTTGAGTTAATTCCTGGAGGAGGTGGCATGTTACCACCAGGTGGTGGCGGCACTCTCAAACTTTATTAATTGTTAATTGGCGGAGGAGGTACATCACTGCTCAGTCCTTATTTTTTATCTGGGCTTTCAATAATTTTTACATTGTTAATTTCCACTTTCAATGAATCTGTTTATACTTCTACACTTTTGTAATCTTTCTTGATTTCCTTCACTGTTTTAGTCTCCTCTAATAGACTCTTCTTTTCTAAGCAAAAACATAAAAATGAGTGTGAAATAGATTACCTTCAATCTTTGTAACTTATAAATTATTGGTACTAGTTGTGTTTGAAGTATTTACTTTATCAAACTGTTGAAACTCGTTCATATTGAGCTTTCTACTGCGTTTTTTAATTTAAAACTCTCCATTACTATCTTCACTAGGTTTATTCTAATCAGCAGGCTTTGCTACTAATTTGGATATAGTAAATTCAGCTTCACCATTTATAGTCGTATTAAGTGACTAGAGTGATGCGTCTGTACTACTATTATTCATCAAACTAGAGTTCTTTAGCCTATCAATTTCAGTCTATAAGCTTTTCAGGCTCGTACTGTACTTAGCTTGAAATTGGAACCTTGTGAATTCTCTCTATAGTTATTTCTTCAAAACCACTTGCAGCCTATCATACATCTATTATTAGAATTAGAGGCTATTGAATCAACTTACAACATAGTCTTTAATTAGTAGTAGCTTTTACTTCACTGATAGAGATCTTTATGATGTATTTGTGGCTTCTTCATATTCTTTTTTCCAGTAATGAATAATCTTGTGCAGCTCGTCAATATCTCCTTCAAGTCGTTTCCTGTTAGCTAATTGCACATCTTGCTTTTCCTTCATTAATATCACCTCTTCTAAGAGTTATGCCTATGATAGTTTTTTCATTTGATTTATGAACTCTTCATTCGGATCAACAACTACTGGTTTAATTACAGGTGGTGGGATTTACTCCTATTTTACTTCCTCTATAATTGACTATTATTTCTGATCTATAATACATTAATCTTAATCCTTAGAGGGATTAATATTATCTTGAGAGGTTGTGGTGGCCGGATTTCCGTCCATTTATTTCTAGACTTAAATAATTCTTTACTAAACTAATATTTAAGTTAATTTTATTTGAATCACATAATGAATAGTGGGGTTTTGGGGTTTTGGGGTTTTGGGG